CAAGATGAGAGCTACAAGACGAGAGCTGCAAGATGAGAGCTACAAGATGAGAGCTGCAAGATGAGAGCTACAAGATGAGAGCTGCAAGATGAGAGCTACAAGATGAGAGCTGCAAGATGAGAGCTGCAAGATGAGAGCTACAAGACGAGAGCTGCAAGATGAGAGCTGCAAGATGAGAGCTACAAGACGAGAGTTACAAGATGAGAGCTACAAGATGAGAGCTAAAAGATGAGAGCTACAAGATGAGAGCTACAAGACGAGAGCTGCAAGATGAGAGCTGCAAGATGAGAGCTACAAGATGAGAGCTGCAAGACGAGAGCTGCAAGACGAGAGCTACAAGACGAGAGATGCAAGATGAGAGCTACAAGATGAGAGCTGCAAGATGAGAGCTGCAAGATGAGAGCTGCAAGACGAGAGCTGCAAGATGAGAGCTGCAAGATGAGAGCTACAAGATGAGAGCTACAAGACGAGAGCTGCAAGACGAGAGCTGCAAGATGAGAGCTGCAAGATGAGAGCTACAAGATGAGAGTGACAAGGTGAGAGCTGCAAGATGAGAGCTACAAGATGAGAGCTACAAGATGAGAGCTGCAAGATGAGAGCTGCACGATGAGAGCTACAAAATGAGAGCTACAAGATGAGAGCTACAAGATGAAAGCTACAAGATGAGAGCTGCAAGATGAGAGCTACAAGATGAGAGCTACAAGATGAGAGCTATAAGATGAGAGCTACAAGATGAGAGCTACAAGATGAGAGCTACAAGATGAGAGCTACAAGATGAGAACTACAAGATGAGAGCTATAAGATGAGAGCTACAAGATGAGAGCTACAAGATGAGAGCTATAAGATGAGAGCTACAAGATGAGAGCTGCAAGATGAGAGCTATAAGATGAGAGCTACAAGATGAGAGCTGCAGGAGGAGGAGGTGCAGGAGGAGGAGGTGGCAGAGAAGATGACACATTGACAAGGTTAGAAATGAGTCCACCAGAGGGACAGGTCAGGTCTTAAGACAAAGTTTGAGGCTCAGATGGTTTGGACTTGAAGGACAGTGGACGTTTTGGACAAAGAATGATGGACATGGAGTCCACAGAAGGTTGGAGTGAAGCGGGATCTGCTGGAGAAAAGGTGAGATGGAGGCAAATGATCTTCAGCGGAGCAGCCAAGAGAAGATGATGATCCTTTACAATTTGAAATATTCTAAAGTTGTTTAAAAAAAAATACACAAAAAGAAACACTTGCCAAGTGGAAGCTTTTATTTCATGGATTAAAAAAACAAAACAAATACACATTTATTACACTTTGAATAAATATTTTCCTCTCATTTGTTTCTTTATTGCGTCCTTCAGCTCCTAATGAGTCCAAGTTACTGATCCCTGCACGTGCTGCTTGAGCTGCACTTTGTCCACTTTTTAAAGTTGGGCTTAAATCTCTAAAAACAAAGTCCCATTTGTTCCATTGCAGCAGAGCATGTGACAAACTTTAAGCAGTTCAACACTGGAAATACAGTTTTATTTCTGTATAATTATTGACATTTCCAGCAGGGCTCCTTCCTGAGGCATCTGAAAACACTGATGTAGTTTCATGTAAGATGTTGCCTCATATGTCACACCACAGAAACCAGAGTACCTAAAACTGAAAACCAACATTGTCTACACATCAGGGTTCACATCAGACGCTTCCAAAACACCAACAGGAATTCAATTTTCAGCTCGTTTAATTGCACTTTAAAAAAATAAACCGCCTATTGCCCATTAAGGACACCTCATTACACACAAAAAAATCTTACAGGTAAAAAAAATGAAGATTTTATATCCTTTCTGCTTTCACCGTATCCTGATGTTTGAGGTTTTGCATATAGGATAAACAATGTGTCCTTTGTGCATCAACAGTAACTTTAAGACCATTTGCAACAACAGTTTATGTTGCATTATAATGAAATGTAAACGTCATAAATCATAAACCTAAAAACCATAAAAATGAAATGTTTCACAGTGCATCGGTGCACAGACTGCATTCATTGTGAACAAAACCAGTAAATATTATTACTCTTGTTTGGTTCTTATACTGGAGAGTCGTCGGCGCGCAGCTACGTGGGGGCGAGGAATATTTCTTAAACGATGTTGGCAATAATGTGAACTTACGGCCCGGAGCGGTCCTGGAGCTCAAGGGGCCACAGTTACTCAGGGGCCGGACATCCAGCAGTTATTGTTTGTTTCACGGTTTAAAATCTAGTTTAATTTAAAAAAGAACCCACTGGTGGGCCGAACTGAGTTGAGTTTGGCACCAGTTGAATAGCCCTGGCCTAGATTTTTGCTTTGCTTGAACCTAATTCTTGTCGACTGATAGGTTTTTTGTGTTTCTGTATAATATTTGAATATCGGGGAGGGGGGGGGGGGTATATTCATGACACAAGCGTGTACAGATGTGAGCCCATGAACACGCCGTTTGAAAACATGGCAGAGGGTTTGTATCTGAAACAAATGCTCTGTAAACTCAGGCACTTGGTGCGGTGGATTTCCTGTCTTGCCACACAAACCTGGTGAATAACGAGTGACCTTTGACCCCACCCCCCACCCCCCACTGTTACTGGTCTGGTCCTGGATCAAGAAACCTAACTGGTAATAGACTTGTCAGGTAAATTGGCCTAAAATTTATCTGCAAGGAATTTGCATATTAACTAAATATTTAGGTCGGACCTAAATATTCAACTTGCAAGTTGAATATTTAGGTCCAAGCTAAATATTTAGTTAGCAAATTAAATATTTTGTTTAGGAATTAAATGTTTAACTTATAAATTAAATGTTTAGTTTATAAATTAAATGTTTAGTTTGGAAATTAAATATTTAGTTTTGGGAAATAAATATCAAGCTTGGAAATTAATTGGAAACTAAGTACTTAATTTACACGCTAGTTATTCCATAGTTATAACCTTGTTATTCATACATTTATTAATGTTATAGTTCCAAATTAATTAACTAATTAAGTTTGTAAACTAAATATTTAGCTTGTAAATTAAATATAGTTTGGAACTGTATCAAATAACATGGTGAAAATAAGACTGAAAAAATATATATATTTTAATGAAAAACCAGAATACTGTTTTTAATTTTTGACTGTGTGACTTTACAAACAGCCGAAGAGTTTAGTTTCTGTTGTCAGAGTTGAGGAATGGCTCTGATGTAAAGGCCCAGTTCTTGTTGTGATCATCAGCTGATCGTGTCCCGTGCGTTCAGTCCCTTCATTTTTCTTTCTAAAAGACTGAAGTCGCCCTGACTGACACTACCGGGGTTTGTCTCCCCCCCAGGTGTTGTCCGAGGCCATTAGCACACCTGGAGAGGAGTGAGGAGCAGATCTCTGATCAGCTCCGACTGCAGCCTCACTCTTTGTTTCTGTCAGCGGGCCGCGAGCCGGGCCCCTGTCAGCCGGTGTCACCGCACCATCCGCCCTGATACCGGGGGGGCGAAATTCAAAGTGTCTGTCCGGTCACTTTGTGCTTCCTGTTTTCTTTGCTCTGTGGGTGACAGCGCCTCAGCTGTGCACCTATAAGTGCACGAGGGCGTCCTCAGCGACCCACTTCCATCTCATGGGGCTCCGCTTCAACCGGACGGCAACAACTTAGGGATTATTTTTCCAAACAAGCCCCTCAAATAATATAAATCTGTTCAGGGTATGGTTTGTGTGTAAAGCCCCTCTTATTGAGTTCTGGCTTCATGCGTGACAAACCGGGTCAGAACCTTCACAGCTGCTCTTGTTTAAAGCTCGTGCCCTAAAATATAATGGAAAGTTTATCAAATCAGTGAAACGTTGAGACAAACCTGAAAGTTAAAATTTAAAAAAAAATTATACTTTTACCCTCAAAGATGAACATTTTTAACCATTTGCGCCTCAGCAGAAAAAAATATTTTCAATAACATTGTTTTTTTCAGCCTTCTGCATTTGATAAATTACATCTAAAGGGCCAGTCTGAACATTTTCTGAATTTTGTGGGATTTTCTCATCCTCCAACTTTAAAGCTGTTTAAGAAATGAGAAACTGTTGAGCAGCTTCTGAAACTCCTGTTCACTGATCTCAGATTAGCTCTAACAATTTGAGCAACTTTATGAATCCAACCAGCTTATTTAAAAAGTAATCTTTTTTATTCATTCTTTATAGCTGTTTATGACAACACTCTGAAATCCTAAATCTGTGCATGGAGAGTTTAATAAGCACCGAATAACTGTCAGTAAAATAGCAAAGGATTCAAACAAAATGCAAAATGCTTCATCAGATTTTCAGCAGAGTTATATAAAAAAAATCACTTTAAATTTAATTGTCAAAAGTATCATTAGCATCAACCGTTACAAAAATAAAACCAGTCATAGATGCACAGACAACGGTTCGGGAGGCTCTTTGTTAAAATGTTTATTAGCAATGTTTGTGTGTTTCAGCAGCGGTTGGCTTAATAAAACTCTGGGACATTTTTTTGTTGGAAGCTTTGCCCTGAAGCTTTCACATATTTATTTATTCCCACTGAGAAAAAAAAAGCTTTTGTGCTTCTTTTGGCAAGAAAATGAAATTAAAAGCAGGAGGTGAAAAGTTTGGAAAATAAAAACCTCCAATTATAATTTAATTTTGTATATACTGTAACATACCATATTTTTCGGACTTTAAAGGTGCAGTTAAAATCCTTTATTTTCTCAAAAATCGACAGTGAGCTTTATAATCTGGTCACCTTATGTATTAATTCTAGTTGTGCTTACTGACCTCAAACCGATTTTATGTGGTTATTGCGAATGAGTTGAATAAAGTTTGACTTATTTTTTCGCTTACTATAAGCTGGTGCGCTTTATAGTCTGAAAAATGTTTTTTTTTTCAAGATTATGAAGAATGCTTATCATACCAGTTTTATTATGAAATAATCTGCTGGTTTATTTTAAATTGAAAAGGTCACCTTTCCGTCTAAAGTTAAAAGAATTGGGATGTATATGAAGCGGCCATTTTGACCATAAAGTTTCCAATATTAAGGTTTGAAGCTGCAACAAGAAAAAAATTTGCCCCAAATACTATAAATATAATTTTATTTGTAAACAGTATTTTTCTTACTTTAACAGCTCTTCTTAACACTGACCGGCGTAGTTTGAACCATTTTTGTTACCCAACTTTAACTATTTTGACATTTCAATATTTTTTCCTTCAAACCTGAGCAAAATCTTGCATTGCCTCAAAAAGTTAAACACTTTAATAAAATGTCCAATCACAGTCCAGACTGACCCTGCAGTGCTGCTTTTCACCACTGGAGGGCGCCGCACCGTTTATTTTAGGCCCAACTGGAGGCAGAAGTGTGTGCAAAAGCACTTTCAGCTTCATCAGGGGAAACAAACGTGAGCATATTGTGCAGAAATGTGTGAAAAGTTGAGCGTGAGAAGGAAGACGCAGAGAAGAAATGGCAAAAGAGGCAGAGAGAGCGTTTGAAGAACAGACAACCGCTGCAGGCGTCTGTCAACGAGCAGAAATGAGGATCTTTTCCAGATGTTTCAAAGAACAAAGTCACACCTCCGTACGTTTGTTTGATGTTTATGTGACCGTAGGGCAGCGCTCCAGTCACGTCCACTTTCACTCACTCGGACACTCGTCTTCAAAAGTTCTGCCTGCGATCGTTTGACACGTTTGAAAAGGGACTTTACGGCGCGGAGGGGCTCACTGCGTGGACTGGGGAAATTAATTTGCATTTAAAGTCTTTATTTTACACGGACAAATAGAAAACAAACAATGTTACATGTAAAATAATGCAACATTTGTATTGAATATAGAAAGTTTAGCTGGCGGCTTCTTTGCAGTCCTTAAAGTTTGACCCTTAACCTCCTAGGACCTGGCTTCCACATTTGCACAAGTTCAGGTCTTAGGAGTTTAAATTAAAGTACTCCCTCTGGTTTTGGTGCATGAAGAAATTGTTCCAGCCCTTTGTCTTCACCTGACTGGACAGACGTGGGTCCATGATGGTGCTGTGGAAGGTTTCGGGAAGGTGGGGAAGCGTGAGGCCTTCAGTGGGTGTAGTAGCCATAGTAGTCTGGATCGCTGTCCTTCTCGCAGATGACTCCACCGCGCGGAGGTGGGGAGTTTTCAGTGCTGGACGTGTAGGGCGACACCCTCCTCTTCTTGCCGCCCTCAAACAGGCCTGAGTCAGCCGAGTCTACGGATTTCACCGAGGGGGTTTCGAGCCAGGCGTCCTCTGCCGTGTCTTTGGGTTTGTCCTGCAGCAGGGGGGGCTGCAGAGACTCGAGGAGGGTGGGAGGATGCAGCCTGGCGTTGACCGGGGGCGTAGAAGACGACGAGGAGGAAGTAGAGGACGATATGGGTCGAAACCAACCCAGACCAGGGGCAGGTTTGTGAGTCAGGTACTGTGGCGTGGGTCGGCTGGTGCTCCACCCGGCGGAGGCGGGTCCCGATACGCTGGTTGATGCAAAAGGATGCTCGGGATAGTAGCTGAGGGCGTGGTGAGCAGACGCCTGCAGGGGGAAAGGTTTGTAGAAACCATTTCCAGAAAAGTCCCCCTCGTAGGAGGAAGGGAAATCAAGCCGGTTTGGCGCCACGCTCTGTTGCGGCGGCAGGTACCAGCGGCTGTGGGGTCCGGGGTTGGAGGACGGGTCTTTGTGCTGCTGGCCCATACCAATGGGCTCGCGGCCATAGAAGCGGCTCTGAGGCAGGGGGCTCATGTACTGTTCAGAGAGGTAGCCCTGTGGGTAGCAGGTCCCCGGCAGCAACTGCTGGCCCTCTGTAGGGGAAGGGGTGAGGCGATCAGAGTCAGGAGGGGCGTAGAGCCTAGGCAGGAGAGAGGAGGAGGTGAAGAGAAGAGAGTGTGAGAAGAAGAGGAAAAAAAGAAGGTGTTATTTCCTGCTCAAACCTCAAACAACTATCAAACATCTCACAGCCCCTCACACCCTTTCACTGCAGCGCGCTCAGCAGCAGCGCAGTAATTGCATCTATTTTAATATTAAACGGGTGATGTGCACTCAGGGTGTCTTGGTGCCAGCAGTGATCCTGTTCCATCATTCATGCAAAGTTCACACAATGTTCTTCAAACCAGTGCAAAAAAAAAAAAAAGGAGAGGGTTTTGTTGTGAGCTTCCCAAGTGTTCTCCAAATTACTTACGTGTCGTAATTGTCGCGGAAACCTTTAGCGAAGGGGTTATGGTCTATTTTCAGCTGAGTGATCTGTGTGGGGAACATCGAGAGCATGTAGGCAAAGGAAAAAGAGAAGGAGTGAGCAACTACGACAGAGAAACAAGAGAGCAGTTAGATAGGAGGTCACTGACTAATAATTAATGACATGCTGCTACTTCTCATGGTGGAAAGAGTTGATCTTTAGAACCGAAGAGTGGGTGAGCACTCCGACAGAACAGACTGGGTGCAAAGAAACTTTGAGACAAAGTCTGCGAGCAGCTGTTAGTAAAGATAGTGATCCACACATCCTTGGTCAGCTGAGGGGAACTGGCTCCTAGCTGAATATGTGCACTGACACAAGAACTACCGTGTTTTTTGCTGTATAAGTCGTGTTTTTTTGCATAATTTACATGCCCTGCGACTTATACGCCGAAGCGAGGTATTTATGGATTTTTTTTCTCATATTTATAAACCAATTTTTGGCTAAGATACTATAAGACCATTTGATGCAACTGGGACCCTGTGTACATAGTTTTGTCCCACCGGTGTATGACAAATAAATCTCTCCGACTCTGACTTTTATTATGACTGAAAATACTGAACACTACCATTTTCAGCCACTAGATGGTACTCAAGTAGTATGGCATGCCGTTGTGTCATGCAATAAGTAAAAAGTGGCTATTAATGACACTATCGGCTTGCCATAGCCTGCCACCTTCGTCCAGCTCGCCTGGAGCAACCGTCAAATCAGCTTCATTTCACTGCACCGCCCCGGAGAAATGCAGCTGATTTGAGTGCATTTATTAAGGAAAAGTTAGACGGAGACACACCTTAACTATAAAGTCGAGTAAACAATTAATTGTTTTTAAGTGTTAATCTTGTTCAATTCTTGTTAAAATCATTTTGTGCACGCTCCCGCGGCTGCCATTTGGCAGCCAATCTATTTTTGGCACAACACATTTCCAGGTTGACAGCAGTGACACATAATAGATGCGACTTATACGGCAAAGCAACTTATTTACTGATTTTTCCACTTTATTGGACATATTTGGACCGATGTAACTTATAGGGCGGTGTGACATGTACGGCGGAAAATACGGTAGTAAAGTTGAATTCATTCATTCCTAATGCATGCAACTATAAAAGCAGACCTACTCTACTTAGAGTAAAACAGAGATTACTGTTGCACTAACTACATCTGAGCCCTTCATTCACTTTGATGAAATGTGTAAATTATAACTAAACGAGTTAAACTCTGGTGTGACTTACGTCTGCGTTCTGGTAAGCAGTGACGGCGATGAACTGAGTCTCCGAAAAGACAAAAGTCTGTGCTTTAGAGGACAGGAAGGGGTCCTCCAAGCCGTCCTCCTTGACCTCCATGATGTGAAGCCGAGGCTGGTACTTGTGGAGCGACTGGAGGACTATCATCTGGACACACAGCAACAGTTTCATCAAATAAAACACTCATTGGGCTTTCACGGATATGGTGTTCTTATGATTTCTGACAATTTAGCTCAGTGATGCTAGCAATGACAGCATTGTAAGAGGGGTGCAGTTGGACACGGAGGCCTGTCCCCCCTCCCATTACAATGTTGTTACTGTATTACTCAGCCTCTTATGAATAGCAAGCGACCATCATGGCACTAACGACCAATTGTTAGACTGACGGTCCTCATTTATCATGTGAACAGCTGGTTCTGGATGTCAACGACAAACTGGTTGATCCACTATGAGAAGGTGCTGTTTATAAGACTGAGTTTGCTGTAGCTCCTCGGACTGAAGAAGTCTTTTGGATAAAAGATGAAACGTTTCAACAAGTTTAATTTTTTTTTTTTTTATCCGTCCAGAGGACCTGATTTAACTTTGTTAGATTTTTCTACCCGATTATTGAGCATGAATCAGGAAATGAGAGACGATCCGAGACTTTTGGACAGCACAAAACGATGAGAGAATTATCTCTCTACACGTGAATTTTAAAGATTTTAGAAGATGTTTGGTCTCATCATGCTGGCTTTATGGTGTCTCAGACAGTTTTATAAACAGCTGGATTTTAAATGCGAACTCTGACAGGTCGACGGCAGCTAACCTGAGCCACGTTGTTGGTGCTGCCCTTGTTGTTGGTGAGCTTCAACTTGCTGAACGACACTTCCTGTCTCATCCAGTGAGCTCCTGTGTTGGGAGAGTCGGGGTGCATGTACGTCCTGTTCCCTGAAATCAAGAACGGCATTTATGAGAATCAGAATAAGTTTTACTACCATTGTACTGGGATACAGTGAGATTATGTTCGTGCAGTCGTCTGAAAGACGGACGGAGTGCACGTTGCTGCTGCTAAAAAGTGCAGCCCCTTATTGTTTATCAGAATACTTAATAAAAAAAGGTAAGAACCATGAGGATGGATAGTGGTATTACAAAAAAAAAAAGATCTTTTCACATCTTGTCCTATCAGGACATGATTTAAACACGTTGCATGCATTTGATGTCAAGACGCTGAGATTTGTCCATAAAGCACTTTCAGATAGACCCCATGTTGTTGTTCAGATGGCAGTTCTAATAAGCAAGCACAGTTGTTCTCGAAGGGTGTGTGTGTGTGTGTGTGGTGGTGGGTGTTACAATAGACAAAGCTTTGCCCCCAGTTACCCATGTCCCAGGAGAAATTTGATAGTCGGCTCATATCCGAGGCCAAACGGGGGAGTCAGATTCAGATAAGACACAATTGTTGATTTTTCTTCAGGCAGACTTTTTTTTTCTTGTCAGCCTTGAGTCCTGTTGGAACCTTCCAGACCCAAAATGGCCAAAATTTATGGGTATTTCACTCCACTGATCCGTGTTAGGAGCCTTCCTCAAGGTTGATCCCAACATGCTGACGAGTGCTAGAAGCTGCAGGTGGCCTGCGATTCTCACAAATCACCTCCATCTTACGGTTTAGCTCGTAAATCAGCTGATTTTGAGGACTCGAAGCATGAACCAAACCTTCGCACTGACTCAGAAGCTTTGCCACGGCCGAAACTGCTGCCGAAGTCTTCTTCAAAAGTCGATAAAACAGAGCCCCGCTGACGCCAAAGAACAGAACCCCTGCTATCATAAATCCAAATATATAAATGTAATCAGCGTCCTCCTGGGAGAAAACTGAGAAACACATCAGCTGCCAAACTCCCCACGGAGCTCTGATGTACGCCGCAGCGTGAGTCTCAGCCGGACATGAGGGCTCTCCAGGACCCTGTCGTTTGTGTCGAAAGTCCAGTTCACCAGATCCATAATCGTATGTTTTGTTTGTGAGATGTGTACCAGGAGCTTCAAACACAGAGAGCAAAGGAGGAAGAGGAGAACAGGGGGAGGGAGAGCAGGAGCGACCGTCTTGAGCGAGAGCCAGAGTAGAAACGAGCCACAGATATCCCTTAAAACAACTAAATTAACTTCTTAACATTTTCAGCTACGTGCAGCATTACCAACAGAAAATGTTTAAATTAAAGTATTATTGTTGGGAATGTTTCCGTTTTAATCCGATAAAGAGATCCTGATGTGATTAACTTCAGAACAGTTGACTGAGTTAACATTTTCTAAAGCAAAATGATAAATCTCATATTTTCACAGCGTTCACCACATCGACCTGCTGACCTTATCTGTGCACACCACGCGTGTCACTATTAACTCTAATTGAAAAAGTTGTTTCACCACAGTTTCCACAACTGTAGCACGTTAACGCTCACCTTTCCACACTTGATAAATGTGTGACAACACCTTCCAGTTTCTCTCATTTACAGCATATTTATTGTGGTTTCTTTAACTTCAGGCGCACACAAAACACAGATTTAGTTGACTTATTATAAATATGCATATTTTTTCCTCCTGAGGCATCAACATGAAGAAATTATGAATCATGGAAGCCGACATAAGAACACAATGTTCTGTCTTAAAACCCTCAAAATGATTTCAATATTCAGTAAAAATATATATTTTTACAACCCAGATTCCAAAAACTGTTGAGAATTTGTGTAAAATGCAAATGAAAACAGAATGCAATGACTTGTGCTTTATTCAAAACGAAACATCGTAAACATATCAAATGTTTAAACCAGCAATTTGCACAAATAATAAAAGGTAATTTAAAATCTGAAGGCAGCAACACGTCTCTGATTGTTGGGACAGGCTGTAAACGTAAATTAGATGGATCAGAAACAGCATTTTACAACCAGTCAACAAAGTCAGGTCCTCTGGATGGTTTCTTTTTTTTGTTGAAACGTTTCGTCCTTCATCCAAAGGACTTCGTCAGTTCAAAAAGGGCAGACTCCAGAAACTGTATTATCATCAGCAAACTGGTTGGCCCGCTACGTGAGTGTGCTTCTTGTGGGACTGAGTTTGTTGTGGGTCCTCGTACTGACGAAGTCCTTTGGATGAAAGATGAAACGTTTCAACAACAAAGAAACCATCCAGAGGACCTGACTTAACTTTGTTGGATTTTTTTACTTGGTTATTGAGCATTAACTTTGATATTTTGCAACTAATTATGTAAATTAATAAATCAGTGAGAGGACTAGGTATAACAAGAGCATTTTAGATGTAAAGATGGGCAGGGGTTCACCGGTCTCCAAAAACTGTCTGAAAATAGTGGAACAGCTTCAAAACAATGATCCTCAATGGTAAATTGAATGTCTCTTCATCTACAGTTCATAATCTCAACAGATTAGAAGAATCTGTAGCAATCTCTGAGCTCAAAGGCTGTAACACTTTATGGTGGTGATCTTCAGGCCCTCGGGGGCCACTTTATATAAAACAGGTCTGGTTCTGTGTTGGGCTCAGGAACATCTCCACAGATCATTGTCTGTAAACACAGTTCATCTACAAAATGCTGTTTAAAGCTCTATCAGGCAAAGAAGAAGAACCAGAGCGCGTTTAAAATGGACTGAGTTGAAGTCCAGAACTGTTCTGTGATCCAATTAGTCTAAATTCGAATCGATTGTTGGAAACAACAGACACAGTGTCCTCTGTATTAAAGAGGAGAGGGACCATTCAGCCATTTATCAGCACTCGGCTTCAAAGACTGCCTCTCTTATGGTATGGGGGTGCATTAATGCCTCGCGCATAATTACGCCAGGAAAGGCTCCATTAATGCAGAAAAGCATACACGTGTTTTAGAACACCTGCTCCCATCCAGACGGCATCTTTTTCAGGGAAGGCCTTGCATATTTCAGCGAACGACAGTACGGCTTCGGAGTAGAAGAGTTCTGGTGCTGAACCGTTTTTGGACATTTGTTATGATGCGTAACCATAACAACAAGGTGTTTTTTACAACCGTAAGCTGCTCATTAACATCTCAAAAGCTCACATAATATCTCAACTACAGACACAAATCTCAAATGAGTTGAAAAGGAGGCACCGTGGATGCATTCTCGTCTCCTTGCCAGCTGTACTCAAGTGCCTGACCACTAAGATCCTGGAACTAGCAGGAAACACGGCTCGTGACAGCAGAAAGACAGGATAATCCCCCGGCACCTGCAGCCGACTGTCCGCAGCGGCGAGGAGCTCGGCAGGCTGCTGGGAGGAGTGGCCATCACTCTGGGAGGAGTTCTGCTCAGCATTCAACCGACAGTCCAGCCGAGTCTGGGTGGACGGATCGGATGGCATCTGCGACCAGTTTCTTGGGATCCGCTCTGGGACGGACCTTTACAAGAGATCCTTCCTGCCTACAACCATCAGCATCTACAACATCTCTTAATGAAACGAAGATAAAGAGTTACAACAACATTTAATTTCCCTTTGGGATTAATAAAGTATTTTTGAATTGAATTGAATCACGAGAGGATAACTAAGATAAAAATGTGATAACTGTTTCATCTTAACGGGAAACGTTTTAGCTTAAGAAAAAAACCGAGGACTTCACGCCTTGCAGAATGTGCAGAGAAGCTGCTGACTCAGAAAAACACCAGAAAGTCCACAAAACCTGTTTTTCAGCCTCCAGGCGCTCCGTGATGCAGCTCTGGTCGCCCCTCGGTGGTTGTGGAAGAGCTGCGAGACAAACCACTTCCTCCGGCTCTTCCAAGCTGCACGCTCTCAGCTGTAGGCCTCTCACCTCCACACGGACTCATGAGTTCAATTTTACTTTTTAAATCTTCAACAATTTTAAATTTAGATTTGGTAACAAAATTGACACTTTGATATTTCTGGTGAGTTTTGCAGACACTAAGTCTGAATTTCTCCAAAGTGGAAAACTTCATGCTAACTTAATTAATTTTACTGATAATGAGCTAAAATTGGGTGCGGTAGTAGCCGAGAGTCATCCCCAACACATGCTTGGAGCACAAAGCTTTGCCACTAACTATTGGCCTCAACTCTCTGTTAGCAAAACATCTCAGAAACCACTGAATGGATATTCATGAAACTTTTCATAAATTAATATTTAGACGTATTTCTACAGCAGGTCGACTTTTCTAGATGATCCAATTCAAGATGGCCGCCACACATATGTGAGCTTTGGCAACACAAGCATGGCGACAGCGTGGTCAGTTTGACAGATACTGGGCTAAAACTGGGCGTGGTAGTAGCTGAGAGTCATCTTCATGAAGTACTTCACGAGCTTGTGCAAAATGACCAAACTTTCTATAACTTGACGTCTTTCGTCAAAATATGTCATGCATTCATTCAAAGGCCTAAATTATTATTAATTATTTATGTTTGAAAACATTCTGTTGATCAATAAGACAGGAGCAACATGATTTATATATTTTAAAATCAATATTAAACATCATTCTGGTTTGAAATGTACCTGGCATGTTACCCTCTGCCTTCCCGCACTGGACCCACTTGCCTCCCTGGTACCTCCAGTGGTGCTGGTCAGCCAGAACCACGTCCACGTAGACGTTGTAGTGGGCCGACGGGTCCAGGACACTGATGTTAAAGCTCAGGAAGGGGAACATCCTCCTGGAGAAACGCAGGAAAACAAATAAATAAGAGCGTCGCGAGTAAACGAGCCTAAAAGTTGATCATACTCAGAAAATATGAAAACAGTTTGAAAATACGAGAAAACTTACAACAAACACTCAAAACTTCTGTTCAGGTTTTGAAATACCAAATCATGTTAGAAAGATAACTCAGATCATGCCGTCTGTTCCAGGATGACGTCATCCAACCTTTATTTATACAGGTTAATCTCATCGAGCCTCAGGGACTCATTTACAAGAGACACCTGAAACTGAGAGCTGTGACTTCACACATTTTTTATTTTTGTATCTCAGGTACTGACCTATTTTAAAGATTTATAAAACAATAATGATAACACTGTGGTCTAATGCTGAAGTGCAGGCGGTTTTTGTGCTTGGTGGCCGATAACAAAATTCAGAGTGAGCTAGATAGAGCTCCACCGGTCTCCCTGGTCCTCTTCACTGGAGCCTCAGAGCCCCCCCCAGGCCAGGCAGGGTGTCATCTCACCCTTGGAAGATCCTCCGTGCTGCCGACCGGCCTGCCCGAGTCCCGGCCTCACGTACTCCTGTGGGCTCCGAGTTGATCCCGCCCACTAGAACTGTTACTGAAAGTATAATGGAAACACAACTCATACCGTGCCAAGCCGAGTCGAATCATGCTGTACCGGTACTAATGGTACTAATGGAAAAGAGCCATATGTAGCGGTGGAGGATGAAGTGGAGGAAGGGGCAATCTCAGCATTTCCTTTCTGGCCGGCTCAAATAAATCTGAAGCTGCGTTTTTGAAAAATCCAGAAGACTTTCTTCTTATGACTGTAGTCTTGAAAAATGGGGGATATCTGTATAATTTTTTTAACAAAGTTTATTTAAAGGTCTGCAGTTTGGGACAGGTCCACAATGTATGCAATAGTGTAGCTGGAGTTTGTTTACAATGACTGCATGCGGGGTCCAGGTTGGCTTTGATCTTGGACAGCTTGTCTTTGGATCAGTGCAGCCGGTGCACCTTGAATTGAATTACAGCGTCTCTCAGACAGATTGAGGATGAGTAAATGTTCTTAATGATCTTTCGCCAGATTGACTCTCAAATTGTTTAAAATTCGTATAATTTAACCGTAAAACTCAGCACATATGATTTAATTCTTCACAGCTTCAATAATGCAGATGTTGTCATTGCGGAACGAACAAATAATCATTTTTTATCTTCTTCTGAATTGTCACCTTTCGCAGAACACAATCAAACTACACACAGAAAAGCCGGTAAACACGGCTCAGTTGTTGTTGTGGTTTCTAGTTACAATTCAACATTTATTTCTACAGGTTAGTCTCATTGAGTCACGAGGTCTCGTTTTCAAGAGAGACCCGTTTTAAAAGAAAACCATAAATGAGGCACACACAACAACAAACACCACACAAAATGAGAAGTATACAAACGACACAAAACAATACAAAAATTGATTATCACTTTCTTAAATTAACATCAACATACCAAATGTTGAATTAAAAAAGTTAAAATTTCACATGGACGGGGTTTTTGCTGCTTTGATTACAGTCGTGAAAACGATGAATTGGAGCTGGTGCACGTCTAAAAACGCGCTGCGCTTCCTGAAAGCCAGGATTGGTAAACAGTAAAGAACATGAAATCACACATCTGTCTGTTTCTGACAACAACTGTGCCAAAGGACAATCAGTTGTTTTAATGAAGGTAAATAAACCAACGAGCACATAAAAACCATGTCACAGTTATTTAAATGTATATATTTAAAAAAACAAGAAACAGCAGGATTTGGTCATAATCTGTGAAAGTTCTTCATTAGGTTGAACCAAAAGTTTAGATCAGAAAACAACAAACAGATTTGACTTCAGCGAGGGAACTTTAGTTCTTTATAGTCAAAAACCCATCGGTTTCTTTAGTAAAATAACATTTTTTTTTAATTCCTGTTTGGGCTGAGTCTAACCAGACTCGGCCTCTCCACCACCTGACGAGCCGGAGCGAGGAGGGCTGACGCTGCTGGTGAATATTTAACGCTGCAGTTAATAAAAGATGCCCCAGAAGATGCTCTTGATTGCCGGGGCTTTACATGTTGAACTCATTTTGACCAGCGATGGCTTCAGTGAGACGGGGTAACTGGGAGGTCAGGGCGTGCCCGGGTTCACTGCCAGGGAAGGAGCTGGGATACACCGAATCAAAACGCAGCACCGCTCGGCACACTCACCGACCGTCCACAGAGCATCTTCTGGTGACCAAGAAGACAAGAGCTTTCCTGAGCAGCTGACTCTATCATCCATGGGCAACACTAGATTTAAGCACCCGACTCTTCATCGCACAGCTGTGACTCCTCTTTCACACCGAGTGTCCAAACCGGTCACAGATGTTTTAACGTCTTCATGAAACTAAAGCAGCAAAAATAACTCCATCACCAAACTACCGGGACAAGGAGCCTCGAAGCTTTTTAAAGTGATGCACGGGCTTGTTTTTAGAGTTAATGTCAAAATCAGGTCAGATTAAATAAATGGAGTTCAAGCTTATTTGTTTTAATTTGAAATGTTGTTCAGAACACAATAAATAAATAAAATAAACATCTCTGGGGTTTGGGTTTTTTTTTTTTTTGGACTGAAAGAAAAGCACAACCAATTGAATGAATGAATGAACCAACAAACAAACAAATAAAGAATGAAGTAAATATACAAGTAAATATAAATAAATAAGCAAATCAACAAGGAAATAAATAAAAAAATGAAAGAAAGACATAAACAAACAAATAAATAAGAAAATAAATAAACTAATCAACCAGCAAATAAATAAATTAAAAATGAAAGAAATAAACAAACAAACAAACATGTAAGCAAATAAACAAGCAAATAAATAAATTAACAATTAAATAAATAAGCAAACAAATAAATAATGAAAGAAAGAAATAAACAAACAAACAAGTACATAAGCAAATAAACAAGCAAGCCAATAAATTAAATAAATAAATAATGTTCACACAATCCAGAAAACCCTGTCTTGTTAAAAGCTAAATTATTAAATTTGGGTGTTATTGTTTTGTTTTCAGCCAATTCTTACATTTTGAGATGAAAAAAATAAAACAAAACTTGTTATTAGTTTTATTACATTAGGCATATTTAAAGTTATAATCCTACTTTGATTGCCTTTTCTTTTGTTTATTTTCTGATTGAGTTTATGATTAGTTTTATGTATTTTTGGTCATCTTTTGTGATTCTTGCATTTAATTCTGTTGTGTTTTAGTCTTGGTGACATCGTTACTTTCCCCTCAGGCCACGCCCACTCACACCTGCACCCTGTTCACCTGTCACACCTGTAGCCACTTCTCCTCATTAGTCCCAGCCTATTTATCTGCATCAACAGTGGAGCATTACCTTTTTTTTTTTTTTTTTAATATATATATAAGCCACGTCTGGTTTCCGCTGTTATCTTTAGGTTTTAGTTCTCTTGAAAAGCTCCTTAACCCGTTTCACTGACACAATAATGAACCTCGACACAAAGTCCAGAAGTTTGAATAGAAACAGAACAAGTCACGGTCGGTCTTTAGAGTGGGTTTTGAGGCTGCTGCACTCCAAGCTGCAGATCTCATCATGAATCATGGTCAGAACTTCAGTTTGAACACAGAGTGGGCCATTTTGACCCTAGGGCAGCAGGAGGTTCATGTGAGAAGGAAGCTGCACATGCTGCTTGTTGTGAAGTCTGAAGCACAACTTGTTTACCTTCAGCTGTTTTTTAAGACCTCAAGCTTCATATACAAGTCATTACTTGAAGTGCATGTCTCGTTTATGACGATGATGAAAATGCAACTGGTTAATGTTAGATTTAATGATTGGTGATGGCAAAGCATCCTTTCATTTAATGTAATCTAATCCAGGCTGGGATTACGCCAAGGACTAACATAAAAAAATGACCATTTGAAGCCTTTTGTTTTACATAGTTCTGGATTAGCCTGGATTAAAGCTGCTCCTCTTCATCCAAAAGAGACAGTTGAGGTTAATCTGACCAGGATGCATCCTGAACACCTCCTTTTTTGGAGGTTTTACAAACATGTCCCACCAGGAAGTAGACCCGAGGTCTGTTTCTTTTGCATTTTTGCATTTTATTTAAATAAAGCTGTTCAAGGACAACATTCACTTCTCGAACAAGGACTGTTGGTGTTAAAAAGCTTATTCCTCCGAGTCGTAAAGCTCCGCTGTGCAAAGCATAATAATTAAAAAATAAACTTCGATAGGACTTTGTTGCATTAGCCTTACAGATGTTCACACTACATGCAAAAGTGACCCAATAAGCACTTATTGGATTGTTTTGTCAGTCTCAACATCAGAATTTCTGGTTTCTTTTGTAAATTTCAAATCAGACCTAGGCCTTGTTCATTTAAACTGGAAACGTATCCATGGTTTTTCAAAGCGACCTCCGTCTGAACCATCATGTCCCATTTCATCCATCATTTCTGACTGAAATGTGACAGACGTGGCAGTTCTGTGCCGGAGCCAGCAGGAACCTTTGCAAGGTTAAATGCAAACATTGCATGAAACCAACATGGCAGGCAATTTAGTTGGCTCTGGTTGCACAACTTCAGAAAGGATGCACACATGCTGAAAGGAGGAGCAGCCGTAAACACAAGGTGACGTGCGCGACGTCTCGTCTTCATGCATGCAGGTCTCTTCAGGGCCGTGAACTGTTCACACTGGTCTGATGGCATTTGAATTACGATGTAAAATAAACTTGCAAAAATTAAAATAAAGATACCAGCAAAATATCTGAATAGAGCATTAGCACCTGCACTGAACGTAGTTGAAAATGTCCTGATGCTCAATAATCCAGGTAGAAAAATCCAACAAGGTCTGAGTCAGATCCTCTGGATGGATTCTTCTTTTTTTTTTTTTAAACGTTTCATCTTTTATCCAAAGGACTTCATCAGTCTGAGGAGCTGCAACAAATTCAGTCTTATAAGAAGCCCCTTCTCAGAGTGGATCAACCAGTGGTTGAACTAG